AAGACAGACAACGAAGCAAGTGAAGTACCTTTAGCGGCAAAAAGCACGCCCAAAGATGCGTTAGTTATGGCAGCTATTTTGAAAGAAATGGGAATCAGTGAATATGATCCAAGAGTTATCAATCAGATGCTGGAATACACCTATCGTGAGTTTTATAATTCAATAATTGGTTGTCGACATTTCTGGAGCTCTGTCTTTATCTCCCCTTAAGCAACTTGAGCAAACTATTATGGACAGATTTGAAGGGATTTGGTAAAGCTGCAAAGTTTAAGTCTCGTTTGATTTTTGTGTGTGTGTGCGTGTGTGTAAACATCTGCTTTTTATTTTAGAGAAAACTTGTTTAAACATTGAACATCTGTGGTATTAACGCAAACGTTTCCAGGTTGTTTATTCGATTGTACAAAAACACGGGATCTTCAGTACGGTAGATTTCAATGAACAAAATCCTATAGTGGGACCATTCAGTTATTTTTAAAAGTAGTATTTGCTTTTTTTACTTAAAAAATTAATAATTTGTCTTAGATTTTCATGGCAAATGTATTCCAGTGCTATTAAGGAAAGAAAAAAAGGATAATCAAATTTCACTCAGATGGAATCCATTTTTTATTTAGGAAGTACAAGGATGTGCTCGGCATTGTTGAGCAGGCCATGATCTGATTGGTAGAAAACAACAAAAGCAAACCTGTGTGTCCAGTTTGTCAGACTGGGGGAGGACTCTGGGTTCATTTTCCGAACAGCAGCTGCTATTCTCAAGTCTTGTCGGCTAGTCGGTCCAGTCATATAGAGAATTGCGCTATCAATCAGGACTGTTAAGCCAGATCAGTTTATTCATACTGTGTGGCAAAAAATTTGGGGGGATTAGCAGTTTGTTTTGTTTCGCGGGAAATATTTTTTGAGATTAGCGCAAATTGGTTTTTAACGCTGGGAATCAATATTTACGATTTTGATAATGTCTTTGTAATTAATGCATATTTTCAAACAATACTATGTTGTGTGTATCCTATGTAAAACCAGTCAAACAGGTTGCTTGTCTTTTCCATTGGATTACAAACACGAACAGACATGATTCCTTACATGTATTTTTGAGTAATGAATTTAAGTCAGAGAATTTTGGTCAGCACCTGGAAATTTCCTTGTCCACCAAAGGCAAAAAAATAGTCACCAGGGTCCACCAGGATGTGGCAGATAAGAGCAAACCTGTTTTTACTTCAGGTTACATAACAACAGTTTTGGAGGATGCTCTTGTTTACTGCAAACATGCTGGTAAAAAAGAACTTGATGCAGATGATGTCCAGCTGGCCATTCAGTCAAGACTTGACCACTCTTATACAAACCCACCACCAAGAGAGGTAAGTAAACTTTTTATCCAGCCTTACTGTGACACTCAGATAACAGTTAACACCTTTAATATTTCGGTCAGAATGTTATTGTTTTCCAAGGAAAAGACCAATAGATGCAAGAAGACTTAAGGATTTAATGGTGCTGAAAAAAAAAATTGAATTTTAACTACTTAAGGCCTCACAGCGATGAACAGCTACAAATAAACCAGGGTGTTCATTAGGCATCAGAGATTGGAGAATTCTCCATTTACTATGCAGAGTTTTCCGGCTAATGTTCTTTAGCCTGTGACTATTTTTAGTCAGATATGGAGCCTCTTTTGAAATATTTTCTTTTAACATTACACCTTTCTTCTGCTATTAGAATTCTTAATGAATACCCTGATAAACAATAATATTGTTTACAGTCTGTCCCCTTTAAAATATTACAGAGTTAAAATGTCTACCGATTAAAATTAATCCTTTGGTAAATGGTTTATAGGAAGCCTAAAACATTTACTTAAACCATCTGTTATATTGTTGCAGTTTCTCATTGAGATTGCTCGTCAGAAGAACCGTCACCCTTTGCCCCAGATCCAGGCAAAGAGTGGATTGAGGCTCCCCCCTGATCGATACTGTCTGACCTCTACAAATTACAAGGTCAAGGCGCAGAAAAAGGTATTGTTGACATAAAAAAAATAGAATACACTCAAAACTCCTTAATACCCTCACCAAAGGGACAGAACCAAGTAGTGTCTGCTTTACAGAGGTGTCTGTATTATAGAGGTAGGGATGGCATTCTGGGACCAAACGAACTGTTTGAACTGTTTGTAATAGAGAGGTGTCAGTATTATAGGTGTCCGTAAGGAGAGGTTAGACTGTATTAATTTTAATTGAAGCTGGGTGCTTGGATCAACTGCTGGTCTGGATTGTTCAAAGCAGGGTTAAGATAACCCAAGGTTAGTGTGACATTTGAATTCGGAGATAAAAGCAAAAAATCAAATTCAGTTTAATTCTTTTGGTCTGCAGTTTGATGATTGGTATTTGATTGATTCATATTAATTTTTTTTGAAAAGAATATTTCGCCTTTTCCCTTGTGCTCCTTTTATTAATATAGATATACCGTATAAGTTATAGTTAATTTTTTATCGTTATTGTAATGTATGCTAATAAAGTTGAAACAAAGGAAAAACAAAAATTACCTGGGATAAAAAATTAACTACAACATATATTTGATCAAAGATGCTGTTTGAGGATGTTGATTGAAAAATGCTTTCTACCTAGCAATTTGTTGCACAACGTACCATGAAAATAAGTAGAGTAGTCACATGTTGGACAAAACTGTTCAAACAATAATTTCTCATTAAAATATCTTTATGTGTCTCTATGTTGTTTACAGCATGCTCAAGTTCGTGCCAACCCTGTTGTGGCACGCACCATTTCCCAGTCGTCAGTTTCAACTCCAATTAAACCCAGCCCTGCAGTCACTGTTAAAATGCCAGCAGTTACCCCAGTGTCAGCTCCAATAGGAGCTTCAACAACTATCACAACAGCCAATACTTTGACTCCTGGAAGTGTCAGTAAAATTACTGTGAAGCAGGAACCAACTGCCAGTGCAGGCACTCACACTGTTCAGAAAACAGGGGTGGCAAATGCAGGGATTGCAGTATCACAGGTGGGTACCCTATGCAAAGAGGCACAGGAAACTCAAATCTTAAATGTATCCTTAGAAGTTTTAGGTAAACGTCTCCATTTGTGATCCAAAATTGGGAATTGAACTTACCCCTTAGGTAAATTAGTACTTTCATTATATTGATCGATATTGAGTGCTAGTATAAAAAGCATAACAGAGAGAACTGTATCATAAAGCCTTTTGTTATTGGGCCATCATAGTTTAATAAAAAAAACGCAAACAGCGGTGATAATCGTGAACTATTGCATTTTTATATAAACTTTAAGTGATCTAAACTGAAACAGTCACTTTAGATTACTTTCAAAAATGTATGTTGCCTAGCATATGAATCGTCAAGTTTATGTAGAAATGCAAAAGTTATCAATGTTTATCACCACTGCATGTGTTTTATTTTTGATTATCACTTAGAGAAGTTGTCATGGATTTAACAAAGTGGCCTTACAGGTGCTTTTTTAGCAGATAAGCTTTGTAACTGCTATTATTATTATTATTATTATTATTATTATTATTATTATTATTATTATTATTATTATTATTNTTCTCATTAAAATATCTTTATGTGTCTCTATGTTGTTTACAGCATGCTCAAGTTCGTGCCAACCCTGTTGTGGCACGCACCATTTCCCAGTCGTCAGTTTCAACTCCAATTAAACCCAGCCCTGCAGTCACTGTTAAAATGCCAGCAGTTACCCCAGTGTCAGCTCCAATAGGAGCTTCAACAACTATCACAACAGCCAATACTTTGACTCCTGGAAGTGTCAGTAAAATTACTGTGAAGCAGGAACCAACTGCCAGTGCAGGCACTCACACTGTTCAGAAAACAGGGGTGGCAAATGCAGGGATTGCAGTATCACAGGTGGGTACCCTATGCAAAGAGGCACAGGAAACTCAAATCTTAAATGTATCCTTAGAAGTTTTAGGTAAACGTCTCCATTTGTGATCCAAAATTGGGAATTGAACTTACCCCTTAGGTAAATTAGTACTTTCATTATATTGATCGATATTGAGTGCTAGTATAAAAAGCATAACAGAGAGAACTGTATCATAAAGCCTTTTGTTATTGGGCCATCATAGTTTAATAAAAAAAACGCAAACAGCGGTGATAATCGTGAACTATTGCATTTTTATATAAACTTTAAGTGATCTAAACTGAAACAGTCACTTTAGATTACTTTCAAAAATGTATGTTGCCTAGCATATGAATCGTCAAGTTTATGTAGAAATGCAAAAGTTATCAATGTTTATCACCACTGCATGTGTTTTATTTTTGATTATCACTTAGAGAAGTTGTCATGGATTTAACAAAGTGGCCTTACAGGTGCTTTTTTAGCAGATAAGCTTTGTAACTGCTATTATTATTATTATTATTATTATTATTATTATTATTATTATTATTATTATTATTATTATTATTTTATGTGGCAGGTAAAAACTGAACCTGGAAAAACTGCTATGACAAGCACAACTAAAACAGGTGTACCAACAACAGCATCTCAGGCCACAGTCATCCCAGCTTCTATGCTAACTGTGTCAGCTCTTCCAAGCATGGATGAAACAATGGCAAGTACTCAGCAACCACTGATCACTCCAATGAAACGAAAACATGAGGATGAAGATGATGACTACGATTCCTAGCCCTTAGGATGATCTTTATTAACTATTAAGTTTAATTTGTAAACAAATTTACATACATGTACAAAGTATACATGCCAAAACTACCATGTTTACTTGAAAGAGCACTGCCTCTGTATAAGCGCTGCATTTAGGAGCAAAAAAAAGTGTGTTAAGTCCAGCAACAATTTTGGTGTGTATTGTTGCTTTTTTGTTTGACATTGTTGATGTTGGATGGATACTACTGCATTGTTGATATTATTTCAATCTGGAAGGGCACTTACAGAATTTGTAAATGTTTCAAGTAACTATTACATTCTTCTTATGGGGCCCTGTTAGGGTAAGATTCCAACAAGCAACATGGCCTTGAAATATCAACATAAGAGAGCTAAAATGGCAACAAGTGATGCAAAGATGGGTCATAACTGAGAGACAACAAAGAAAAGGGAAAATAAAATAGTAAAATATCAGCAAGTACGTTGCCTCCTCCTCAGTATGAGAAACGATAGGTTTTGAAATTTAGACTAGGGACATAAGTACCACATAAGTACCCCCCCCCCCGAAAGGGGCCTCCCTCATGCTATAACTGTTGCTTCTGAACAGACTGAAGTTAAAGAAAACATAATTTTTCTTTTCGTTCGGTTTGTTCAGAAACAATGTAATGTAGAACTGTTCTTCAGAAATAGGAAGCTTAATGGAAGTGTATCTCCAAACAATTGATGCCCTCAAATCAGCACTGCACTAAGGGCCTGTTTACATGGAGGTGGGGTACCCCAGATAGGTGAGGTAACCCGCTTAGGTGGGGTACAACGCCTGTCCATGTAATCTCTCATTTTAATGTGATCACGTTTACATGTTAGGTGGGGTAACCCACCACATATTACCTCACCTACCTGGGGTCCCCCACCTTCATGTAAACAGGCCCTAAGTTGAAAAATTTAGTTCAGTACTATACAGTGCTCTTTTGAGTAGTTACTGTATATTTACAACTAAAAATGCCTATCCACATTTCTATATTAAAAAACTATTCAGAATATGTCTGTGAACTTGTCTACCAGTTTTTTTTTTGCCTCATGCTCATTTGAACAGTTTTAAGCTGATGCCTTCCTTGGTTACAATTGGACTCAGTATAAAGGCACTCAAAACATTATCGTGAGATATGTTTGTGTCTTAATTCAATAAGCTCTCAAAAATCTCTTCACCTTGGTTTTTGGGGCTATTGTTAACACTTTAAACAATATTTGCACACTTAACTCAAACTAAAACTTAATCATACTGATACTCGTCAATCCTTTTAAGTTGCCTTGTTCTTGCACGTTTGGCATTCTCAGCTGCTACTGCACGTGCAGTGGTTGTTGTCTGAAATTTCCCAGGTTTGGAAGCAGCACCTGACGGAACATCGGAAGGTGAGGACTGGCCTCCTTCACTTGCCAGACGTGCCTCATCAACCTTCTGAGATACAGAGTTCTTTATGACTGGCATCAATTGTAGTAGTGTCAGATAACCAGTGATTTGTGCTAATCGCATCACTGACACTGAGTCATCAGCGCTTCCCATGTGTTCTACAGACTCAACAAACAGTCGTCTCCTCAGACGTTCTGAAGCCAGTGGACAGATATTGTCAATGGCTTCAGCATATTCAATGTCGGTCATAAAGCCTGGTCTTCGTCCAGGTTGCTGTAGAAGCTTGACTTCCATTTCTTGAAAGCAAGGTTCTCTGTACTTTAGAATAATGTAAAGAAAATACTCTGATACTAGTTCCTTGGAAATCTTGTTCTCACTGAAGGATGTGTACCCCATGGAGAATTGCTCGATATCTTCTTCATTCATGAAGGGGTATACAACATGTGCAAATGTCCTGATGTCTTTGACTGCCACCCATTCGACCAAATCTATGAATTCGTTCATGAGCAAGACGTAACGAATCACAACAGGATCTATGCTACCACACATTGCTTGCGCGAAAAGCTCAATGCTCTTGTTAGCTGATGCAAATTTAATCACGCTTGTAAAGAAGTCATACACAGCAAGATACGTGACATCTGGAATGAGATAACGTTCCTGGAAGAAAGAGTACAAAGTGTCTACCACTGAAATTATCTGCTCATCTTCAACAGCATAATCATCTTGCCAGATCAGGTAAGAGTAAAACTGTTCAATAACTGATGATACAAGATTCTCGGGCAGCGACCGGGGAATCTGCCGATTAGTGGAAGTACGAGAATAGAAATCATCCCAAAGAAATTTGTATGAAGTGGTGAGGTGTTGCTGGGCTTTTAGGATGGAATCTTCTCCATATGACAGTGCACTGGTTGTTCTCGCTGAAAGAGCTTGGACATTCTCTGGGGTTTCAGCTACAGGCAAAGGATGCTTTTCTTCCAGTGAAATGTGCACTGTTGGTCTGATGATTTTAATATGAGTGCAGTTGTGGGGTAGTGATACAACCTTGTGATCGGTAATCTTGTGCGGACAGATTAGAGTGGTCTCGCCGCAACTAGCACAAAACTTTGCATCTTTAAACTCATGATAGTGTTTCCCTTGGTTACAAGAGTAATACATCATTGCTGAGTACTTGCTAAGGATTTTCTCATGTGGGATAAATGGGTCTTGATGGTGTGCACTGTTCATAATCTTCACAAAATCAATCTCTTCTTCTTCTTCTTCTTCTTCTTCTCTAGGCTCACTTGGTTTCTTGCCTTTTTCCCTTTCAATGTGGAAGAGACTTCTTTTCCTCTCCGACTTTTCAGCTGCTTCTCTTTCCATCGCATTTGCCTCTTCCTCAAGCTGGGCCAACTGGTCCTCAAGGCTGGACCTGTGGATTTCAATGAGCTGGAATTCATTTTTAACATCAGCAATACTTTGTTTGAACCTCTCCTTGACTTTATGCAGCTCCTCTTCCAGCTTCATTCTCTGCTCATGTTCATCATCTGGGGTAACGCGAAAGCTGCTTCCTGACCCGCTGCTCTTCAAATCAATGTTAGTGGTGGGTAGAGCCTTGTTCTTTTCCAGGAATGACTCATATTCTTCAATAACTGCATTTTGCATGGTAAGAAGTTGCTCTTCTAAAAGCTTTGCAGAAGCGATGTCTTGAATTATCTGTGCCCTTCTTGTTAACACAGCTGGTTTCTGTGGTTTCTTCTCAAACACTTTCGAGTCATTGAAAGCCTCTTCTAAAGCATCATATCCCTCTTTAAACTTTTCAAGAAACTTGTTCCTTTCCTTGACATGAGTGAGTTCCTCTTTAAGGCTGGAAATGCGCTTCTCATATCTAGCAAAACAAATTTAAATAATATACCTTTAGTTTTAATATTGAATCTCAAACTTGGTAACATTGGATACACTGCTCCTAGCAACCACTTTTACCAGTTATTTACTGTAATTACCTGATAAGTGTAGTCAGTTTTGATCATACAAAACAATGTTGTCGCAATGAAGTAACGAATTACTCCTGAAGGCTAGAACAATATTTCTAACATAGAATCTCAGACTTACATACATTTAGGTTACCTAGCTAGGGTGACTGATGGATGCATTGAAGTTTGTTTTTATTGTTGTGGTTTTATTTGCTTCATGTGATTTGCTGAGCTGTTTTTAAAAAAAGACAGAAATTCCTGATCCAGATTAAACATCAGTCAGAGTATTTTTTGCCACGAACTGGTTGGCTGGTTAACCAATATTACACTATCTACTGGAAAGAGATTTAACCAGTGGATAGCGTTACCCAACTTTTGAAAAACTGGGGCCAGATCTGAAAACGGGTATGGGTTTTAGAGGCTGGGTCCGAGGGTTTGGGGCTATTGCATTTAATATCTGCACCCCCTAGTTGAGGAACCATGGAATTCTCCATGGGTAAGTTATAAACATTGAGGATTTCTTTAGGAGTAGAGTAAAAAAATATGGGATTCTTTGGGGGTGAAGGTTTAATTTTCACAAAATTCTTCACGGGTAAATCCACATTCTTCAGGGGTAAACTCATATTTTATGGAAGTCTACACGGGTGAATGCAATTTTTGCCAATCTTCAGGGGTAAGAAGAATAGGTAAGTCCTCGGGGGGCGGGGGGGTATGGATATTATTAACAATTATTCCTCGACTCGAGCCCAAATGGGCTCTGAGTCAATAGCCCATGAGGGCTACTGGTCAAAAATATCGAGAATAAAAAATTTTTAGCTAGTTAAACTACTAACTACTAGTAGGCTATATCATATAGCCTAGTAGTAGCTCAACCAATCAGAATGCAGCATTGATAGTACACCACTAGTTGGATTTTACTAAAATGCAATGGCCCTTGGAGAACCAGGTCCCAAGACCAGGTGGTACACCCTCGCTAAGAATTGCCAGGAGAGCCCCCCACTCTCGGGAATAATAATTATTATGAATATAATAATAATAATAATAATAATAATAATAATAATAATAATAATAATAATAGTATTGATTCAGGATTAACTTTATCTCTGACCTGTCTTTGGCGGCCTGCTGCATCATTTGTTCATATTGTATATTGGCTTCAAGTTTTCTTTGCTCCAAGTTGTTGTTTTCCATTTCTATTTCCATGTTGTAGATTTTATCGCTGCTTTCTTTGAGCGATTTTTTAAGTTGGTCGATGTTCTGATTACATTCCTCGAGCTGTTTGTCTTTGTCGTTGAGTTTGTTTTCTAGGGCGGTAATGTTTGCTTGCAACTGGTCTGCGTTTTTGTCGCGTTCCTCAAACACACGATTGACAAGGACAAAATACGGAATACGTTGGATGTATGAAGTCTTACTCTTCCCTTTTTTCGGTGGCACTGTTGTATATTCATTGCTGTACACCGCGTCGTAAAGCTCATCTCGCAGCATCTTCAAAACATTTTTGTAAACTCCCAAACAAGGAATCACTTCATCAAAAACATGAAAGCAAGTGGTCATTCGCTCTTCACTTAGCCCTTTCTTTGGCGTGTCCTCGACCAGGAGGACTTCATACCTTGTTGCGGGTGACCGAGAAGATAAAGCTCTTCGATCAGGATTCATAATTTCTCGGAAATAAAATTACCTGAATTTGTTTTGGTTTTCAAGCCGCCATATTTCTTGTTGCTACGAAAACAATGGGAACTGGGGACTAGCTTACGCTGACCGCTATAAGATCGTTGCACGGGCTCATTCTTTCTCTTCGGATCGACATCCCCGCTTCTGGCTACGAAAGTAAGTGAGGAATAAAATCCTTTTTCATCCTTGAACTGTCTTTTGTTTTTCCACCGTTTCAATGACTTGGATGTGTATTTTAACGCATTCAATTCTTTGCGAGGTTAATTGTTGTGGGGGAACTTGATTTCGCCTTGTCTGTGGTAAGACGCCAGCATGGCTACCTTTCAAAAGCAAAGATTAAGTTTTGGCTAAGTTTTATTCGTTCGATTTTAGGTAACTAGAGGATTAAAATGTCTCAACCTACGCGGTAAGTTTATATGTTTTAGTGGACGGCGTGGTACCTTGTTTTGATTTTAATAATGATCGAAGCAGTTTCTCTTTAATCATTTTATTAATATAAGCTTAAGCTTAATAATTATTAGTACTCAGTAATCACACTAAACTTATTCCTAACAGGGAAAAGTTTTAGTGCAAGAGATACCATCAGCTCAAAATTTTAAAGTGGTACTCCAAGGCTGTGCTCTAAGGAAAATTGAAGGGAGCCCAGTGCTCTGAAACTGTAAAATCTAGGGTGCCCAGCATATGATTTGTGTGAAAAATCTGAGATTTTCTAGTTGCCCGGGGGCAAAAGTTAGGCGCCAGGGGCCACCGGGCTCTGCTAGAGCACAGCCCTGTACTCATAAAGACATGTAATTTTGTACTCATAGTCAAATCTAAGGGTCACTAGCCACTTATGCCAGTGCTATAACCTCGAGACATCAGATTTGTGTTCATGTTCACTGTGTGGCCTGCTCTAGTCATGCCAACAACAGCAGATTATTCTGATCACCTGTTTGCATACATGCCAATATTCATCAACAAATAGACCTCATTTTAAAGTGGCATGAAATTTTTTTATCCTTTTGTCTGGATGACAATGGGCCTTCGAATCCTCCCTAAGGATAAAATTTCCTTTGTGGAAGTGGATTTCAAGTGGAAGTGAGGAAAAGAAGGCGAATTAACATAAAGAAACTTTTTTTTATATAACAATATATTTTACAGGAATGTCAAGGCTGAAATTTGTGAAATTTTAAAAATATTTTAAGAGATTTTGAAAAGGACTCAATTTTGTGGGTTGAAAATCTGTAAATTTATTCAATACAGTTGTACAACACACTTTTAGCTTATTCCTCGCTCTAAATGGCAAAACTAGCCAACAAAATGAAAAAACCTGCACTACCTATAATTGATACCTAATCATTCTAAAAATGTCATATTACTGTAATTTAAGATTAATACAAGAATATGTTCAATCTAAAATTGGCAGAAAAATAAGAATATTCAGCCTGGGCTGGAAAAAATGACATCCTTATGAGAAGAAAAACAGTGCTTAAAGGAAAAGTAGATCTTATATATTGGCCATAACTGGGTCTTTGACACTCATTTAAGGTAGAACATATAAGGAGGAATGTTTTGCTTACTTAACCTTCGTCAAAAACCAATCTTGAGATCTTTTACTGATGGTCTAATTATTTCCTGTTAAGACTTTACACCAAAGGCATTGTCCTTGGCTACAAGAGAGGCTTGAGAAATCAGCAACCCAACACATCCCTCGTAAGGATAGAAGGAGTAAACAGCAAAAAAGAAACAGACTTCTACCTTGGCAAACGTGTGGCATTTGTGTATCGTGCCAAGAGAAAGACTGTTGCCAAAGGAGACAAGAAAGCAAGTAAAATCCGTGTGATGTGGGGAAAAGTGATGAGACCCCACGGAAACAGTGGTGTTGTACGAGCTAAATTCAGGCATAACCTTCCACCAAAGGCTATGGGAGCTACTGTCAGAGTGGTACGTTGTTTGTTGGACTGTTTTTCTTTTTTAACCTGAGAAGAAAGCCGACATTTTGTTCATACTGCTGCTGGTTTCCCTGCAAAATGACATGTGAGGAATGAGTGAAGAAATTCTGTGCTGACAATGTGTTACTACCCAGATCTGGGTAGTGCTTTTGATTGGTTGATTTGGGTAGTGACAAGCATCATCAGTGTGGAATTTCTGCATTTATTCAGTCCTCATAGAAACCACCAGTGGTGCTGCGAAATGTCGACTATTTTCTCAGGCTTAATTTTTATGTTAGAATTCTCAAATTTGATTTTTGGCAATTTCCACTTGAAAAGGAAGAAGTGTCTCCTGTTAGAACAAATTCTGATTCTTTTAAGGGGAAGTGTGAATTATTTTGTGTTCTTCTTTGTAATTTTTACTGAGCTGTGATGAAATGCATTCATTTTATTGTGAAATGCTACAATGTAGCATTATTGATTTCTAACTACACTTGAACAGAGCTCAGTTTGCTTATCAGTTTGTCAAAAAATGTTTTGTCAGTGTTACATAATGGTAATTGAATTGAGTGGAGTGCAATTTGGTCTGAAATCATACGCATGACTTTAAAATTGGACATGCACGCAGTGCGACTTCGATTTAAAATAACAAGTTTGAGTTCAGACCAAAATTTGGCAACATGAAGTTCAATTACCACTTTATTAGAGCCATTTTGAAATCACAAAATCCAGTCAGTACCAATATTATGTTGATCCAGTAGCAGGCTAGCCGGTTTGTTGAAAATCAATTTGAAATCGAAAGCATGATTTCAGATGAAAATTGCATGATACTAAGTTCAATTACCACTTCATTACAACCATTTTGAAATAGCGGAATTCAGTCAGCACCAATTTTTTGTTTTTAAAACAGAAATGGTGCGATTTAGAACAGAAATGATGTGATTTAGAACTTGAATGATCTGATTTTGAACAGATGTGATTTAGAGAAAAAAATAGCTTGATTCATGAATAAATCACACTGCTGAGAGCCAATCAGATTGCAGGGATCACCAGTGATTTCAAAGTGGTTATAATAAAAAGTTCTTAAACTTTGGGAGAAATGGAATGTATCAGAGATCTTTAGATGCGAAGATAAGGATAACTATGTGGATGAGATATATTTTCTTACTCTCAGAAAATAACATCCCAGAAAGCTTCATCATATATATTTTTTCACCTGAAAATTTAGGATGGTTATTTAATATTTTTATTGTAGGGGGTTAAGCCCTCTCCTGATTGCAAATGATAAAACTTCTTAAATTTTATAGCATGTTTCTGCCACCAAAGCCTAGGCCAAGCATCGAACTTTTCATGAGACGAACCAAACTTGGTGAGTTAGGTTCGTGAAAAGTTTGACGTTCGTCTGCATGAGTTTGGATCATCCAACACAAGCAGACAGATAGAACGTCTGAAGATCGTCCCTGAGGCAAACATTGATCTTCCCATGCGACAAACTAAACTGATTGATTAAAAAAATTGCATGAAAATGTATATTTAGCCTCATTCAGGAAAAATTTTAAAGAAAAATTGCTTTTTGGTCTGATTCAGTTGATTGGCTCGACGCATCCGAAATTAACAAGGACAAAATACGGAATACGTTGGATGTATGAAGTCTTACTCTTCCCTTTTTTCGGTGGCACTGTTGTATATTCATTGCTGTACACCGCGTCGTAAAGCTCATCTCGCAGCATCTTCAAAACATTTTTATAAACTCCCAAACAAGGAATCACTTCATCAAAAACATGAAAGCAAGTGGTCATTCGCTCTTCACTTAGCCCTTTCTTTGGCGTGTCCTCGACCAGGAGGACTTCATACCTTGTTGCGGGTGAGCGAGAAGATAAAGCTCTTCGATCAGGATTCATAATTTCTGGGAACTAAAATTACCTGAATTTGTTTTGGTTTTCAAGCCGCCATATTTCTTGTTGCTACGAAAACAGTGGGAACTGGGGACTAGCTTACGCTGACCGCCTCAAGATCGTCGCACAGGCTCATTCTTTCTCTTCGGATCGACATCCCCGCTTCTGGCTACGAAAGTAAGTGACGATATAAAATCCTTTTTCATCCTTGAACTGTCGCGTGTTTTTCCACCGTTTCAGTGACTTGGATGTGTATTATAATGCATTCAATTCTTTGCGAGGTTAATTGTTGTGGGGGAACTTGATTTCGCCTTGTCTGTGGTAAGACGCCAGCATGGCAACCTTTCAAAAGCAAAGATTAAGTTTTGGCTAAGTTTTATTCGTTCGATTTTAGGTAACTAGAGGATTAAAATGTCTCAACCTACGCGGTAAGTTTATATGTTTTAGTGGATGGCATGGTACCTTGTTTTGATGTTAATAATGATCGAAGCAGTTTCTCTTTGATCATTTTATTAATATAAGCTTAAGCTTAATAATTATTAGTACTCAGTAATCACACTAAACTTATTCCTAAGAGGGAAAAGTTTTAGTTCAAGAGATACCATCAGCTCAAAATTTTAAAGTGGTACTCATAAGGACATGTAATTTTGTACTCATAGTCAATTCTAAGGGTCACTAGCTACTTATGCCAGTGCTATAACCTCCAGACATGAGATTTGTGTTCATGTTCACTGTGTGGCCTGCTCTAGTCATGCCAACAACAGCAGATTATTCTGATCATCTGTTCGCATACATGCAGAGGTGGATCCAGAGTAGTTCAAGTGATTTGCACAAATCACTCAAATTTTTTTCAAATCTTATTTCTCAGCTCTTTATTGCTGTTGACGAAATCAATTATCCTCCTTGTTTTATTGTTTATTATGAAATTAATAAAACAACTGAGAGATTATTCCGTCGATCACACAGCAAACCCAGCCCCTCCTGAGCGAAGTGGACGAGTCACCGTTCGCGCGGTTTCGTCCTTTGTTGATCTTTCGAGAACCAAAAAACCAAAAATTCGAGAGAATTCGAGAACCAAAAATTCGCAGGCACGACCGGACAAAGTTTCTACCTAGAGGGTAGGGAGTGGAAGCATGGATCTTTTCACAAATCACTCAAAACCCACTTTGATTGGTCAGAATCACTCGCATTGTCTTGCGAACTACTCAAACTCGATTGTGATTGGCTATTCAGGCCGCAAACTACCGTGCAAACTACTGACAATCATATATAAAGAGAAGCCTCTCCCTCAGAAGTCCCTTCGTTCTTGTTGAATTCGTAAACTCGCTTCGCGAAGACAAGAATACTTTGATTTATAAACCATGGTTCGAGGCGATCCAGTTTGTCGAAAAGAGGACTGTCCTCAGTATGATATTGGCTTGGTTTTCAAGGAAATCAGCCCGTATTGGGACCAGGATAAGCTCAAGTTCATAGAGAATGCGTGGAAACCGGGTGAGCTATTTGATTTCCCAGTGTCAGAGGAATGTTCGAATTCTAAGCGTCACTTTGTGTAGGGCTGGTTGAAAAGATTTCCCTGGCTAGCATACTCAAAATTTCTCGATGGTGTATTTTGTTTACCGTGTGTTTGTTTGGAGTCCAGTGTGGGAGGAATTCGAATAAACTCGATAAATTGTGATACAGAAACCTTTCATTACACGAATTTCCATTCGTGTCACCCACCAGGCGTCACGAAAGGCTTTATAAAAGGAGAAGCGTCAAGGCTTCTGAGAACAAATTCCTTTCAATTTACTTTTGAGGAAAACATGAGTAATTTCAAAACACGCCTGCAGAATAGAGATTACCCAGCTGGAATTGTAGAAAAACACCTTTCAGAGATTAAATTCTCTGATTGAGAAATGTCGCTAGCGCAGAAAAACAAAACCGCACCTAAGAAAATACTGCCCTTTGTAACACAATACCATCCGGCTTCGCCTAACCTAAAGGACACACTTATGGGGAAATGGCACCTTATAGAAAATCAACGCAACTGAGAGAAATCTTTAAGGAGCCCCCCATCATCTCATACCGTAAGGGAAAATCCCTAAAGGACATCCTAGTTAAAGCTAAGCTATGAAGGCTTTATTAGAATTTATTCTATCGCAAACTGCAGGAGTCGTGTAGGCTTGTCAACACTTTTATCAATGCTAATTCACTTGCTAGACCCCTTAGACACAGACAGGCAAAGTTCAGATCTAGACAAAAAAATGTTACCTTGTATAGTCAAACAAAGTAATGAATAATTGTACAGAATTATGCCTTTCTGGAGGAGGTACTGTTTATGTGTCTGAATGGCTTGAGGAGCTCTCAGAACGCAGGAAAATGGCAGTTTGAGAGCACTAAATTTCAAATTTTTCTTGGGGGAGCATGCCCCCAAACCCCCCTAGTTTAGTTGGTGCAAATCACTCATGTAAAATCCTGGATCCACCCCTGACATGCCAATATTTATCAACAAATAGACCTCATTTTAAAGTGGCAACATCAAATTTTGTTATCCTTCTGTCTGGACAACAATGGGCCTTCTAATCCTCCCTAAGGATAAAATTTCCTTTGAATTTTGCGAGTGGAAGTGAGGAAAAGAAGGCCAGTTAACATAAAGATACTCTTTTTTTATATTTCAATATATTTTACGAGAATGTCAAGGCTGAAATTTGTGAAATTTTAAGAATATTTTAAGAGACTGAAAATGACTCAATTTTGTGGGTTGAAAAATAATCTGTAAATTTATTTAATACAGTTGTACAACATGCTTTTAATTTATTCCTCTCTCTAAACGGCAAAACTAGCCAACAAAATAAAAAAAACATGCACTACCTATAATTGATACCTAATCAATCTAAAAATGTCATATTTACTGTAATTTAAGAATAATACTAAAATATTTTCAATCTAAAATTGGCAAAAAAATAAAAATATTCAGCCTGAGCTGGAAAAAAATGATATCCTTATGAGAAGAAAAAGAGTGCAGAAAAGAAAAGTAGTGCTTATGTATTGGCCATAACGGGCTCTTTGACACTTGTTTAAGGTAGAACATATAAGGAGGAATGTTTGCTTACTTAACCTTCGTCAAAAACCAATCTTGAGATCTTAAGTAAAATAATGTTTTACTGATGGTCTAATTATTTCCTGTTTAGCCTTTACACCAAAGGCATTGTCCTTGGCTACAAGAGAGGCTTAAGGAATCAGCAACCCAACACATCCCTTGTAAGGATAGAAGGAGTAAACAGCAAAAAAGAAACAGACTTCTACCTTGGCAAACGTGTTGCATTTGTGTATCGTGCCAAGAGAAAGACTGTTGCCAAAGGAGACAAGAAAGCAAGTAAAATCCGTGTGATGTGGGGAAAAGTGATGAGACCTCACGGAAACAGTGGTGTTGTACGAGCTAAATTCAGGCATAACCTTCCACCAAAGGCAATGGGAGCTACTGTCAGAGTGGTACGTTGTTTGTTGGACTGTTTTTCTTTTTTAACCTGAGAAGAAAGCCGACATTTTGTTCATACTGCTGCTGGTTTCCCTGCAGAATGACATATGAGGAATGAGTGAAGAAATTCTGTGCTGACAATAAGTTACTACCCAGATCTGGGCAGTGCTTTTGATTGGTTGAAGAAATTTTTGCTTGGGGCACAACCAAGTACTGCCTAGAGTCGGGTAGTGACAAGCATCATCAGTGTGGAATTTCTGTATTAATTCGGTTCTCATGGAAACCACTGGTGGCACTGCAAAATGTCGACTGTTTTCTCAGGCTTAATTTTTTGGTTAGAATTGACAAATTTCAAGTTTGGCAATTTCTGCTTGAAAAGGAAGAAGTTTCTCCTGTTAGAACAAATTCTGATTCTTTTTAAGGGGAAGTGTGAATTATTTTGTGTTTTTCTTTGTAATTTTTACTGAGCTGTGATGAAATGAATTCATTTTATTGTGAAATGCTACAATGTAGCATTATTGATTTCTAACTACACTTGAACGGAGCTCAGTTTGCTTATCAGTTTGTCAAAAAATGTTTTGTCAGTGTTACATAATGGTAATTGAATTGAGTGGAGTGCAATTTGGTCTGAAATCATACGCATGACTTTGAAATTGGACATGTGCGCAGTGTGACTTCAATTTGAAATCACAAGTATGAGTTCAGACCAAAATTTGGCAATACGAATTTCAATTACCACTTTATTAGAGCCATTTTGAACTCACAAAATCCAGTCAGTACCAATATTATGTTTGTTTCAGTAGCAGGCTAGCCGGTTTGCTGAAAATCAATTTGAAATGGAAAGCATGATTTCAGATGAAAATTGTGCGATACTAAGTTCAATTACCACTTCATTACAACCATTTTGGATTGCGGAATTCAGTCAGTACCAATTTTTTGTTTTCAAAACAGAAATGGCGCGATCTATAACAGAAATGATGTGATTTAGAACTTGAATGATCTGATTTTGAACAGATGTGATTTAGAGAAAAAAATAGCTTGATTCATGAATGAATCACACTGCTGAGAGCCAATCAGATTGCAGGGATCACCAGTGATTTCAAAGTGGTTATAATAAAAAGTTTTTAAAGTTTGGGAGAAATGGAGTGTATCAGAGATCTTTAGATTCGAGGATAAGGATAACTATGTGGATGAGATATATTTTCATACTCTCAGAAAATAACATCCCAGAGAGCTTCATTATGGCGGAGCTCTCGCGCGCGAAGCGCGCAGCGGAGCACCATGGGTAAAAAAATGTGGTAAACTACCCATTCGAGAAAATTTGGTAATCACGTGACCGTACACCGACCGCCCGCCCGCCCGACCGTCCGTCCGCACCACAGACATACCAATGTAAAATAATTCAATTAACAGGTATGGCAACCCAAATGCAACTCAAGGTTTTATTTGGAAAGAAATCGCATGGCCGCCCGGACTTTTAGAAAAAAAAACAACAACAAAGTCGTGTCTTTTTCAACGTTATTTTTGATGTTTACACTCACGTGGATAACAGAGAAACTGAGCTAGAGCTAGTTTCTGAGAACAAAGGAGAAGAATTTTGTAGGAAGAAAAACATGAAAACTCAAAGCGGCTGTGAGACAATGAGAAATGCTAGTGGCCAGCAAGGTGAAACTGAGCGGCAGTGAAAAATAAAAGCGAACATCAACACAGGAGACAAAATATTGGGTAAGAATTCCTCCATAAAAATAATGTGCAACTAGGAAGTTTGACGTTTAGTCCTACAAAGCAGCGTTGTAGTTGTGCAAAACAACGGCAAAGAAGGACGAAAAGCGTGCTGCACGTGCAAATTCTGTTGTTTTGCTAATTAGAAAAAAAAGTGTGCTGCACGTGCAATTTGTTTTTTTGCTAATTAGATCTATTGATGCCATTTCCATTGGCCTCCCCGTTTAGCATTAGACGATTTAATTTTTTTTGTTTACAAGAGCTTCGCTTTTAGCCCTGGCTAAATCTATATATTATGTATATGTTTTTAACCTGAAATTTTAGGACGGTTATTTAATATTTTTATTGTAGGGGGTTAAGTCCTCTCCTGATCGCAAATGATAAAACTTCTTAAAGTTGATTGCATGTTTCTGCCACCAAGGCCTAGGCCAAGCATCGAACTTCTCATGAGACGAACCAAACTTGGTGAGTTAGGTTCGTGAAAAGTTTGACGTTCGTCTGCATGAGTTTGGATCATCCAACACAAGCAGGCAGATAGAACGTCTGAAGATCGTCCCTGAGGCAAACATTGATCTTCGCATGCGACAAACTAAACTGATTGATTAAAAAAATTGCATGAAAATGTATATTTAGCCTCATTCAGGAAAAATTTTAAAGAAAAATTGCTTTTTGGTCTGATTCAGTTGATTGGCTCGACGCATCCGAAATTCAACGTTTGACGCAACAGACAATCTAAACTTCATTTAGGTCAACTAGAATCAACGCTGTTATTTTAAGAGTCTTAACCGACATTTCAGCTATGCTGCCTTCTTCATGGTACAAAACTGAATACCGTTAAAAAGCTCGAACTTTTTAAACGGACTCTTTAACAGTATTTAGTCTTATACCCTGAAGAAAGCAGCATTGCTGAAATGTCGGTTAAGACTCTTAAAATAACAGCGTTGATTTTACAATTTTTTAAATGAACATTAAGTAACTACTCTGCGCAGGATTCTCAATCTTTATTGCACAGCTCATTTAAGAGTTTGGTTCGTCTCATGAAAAGTCAGACGTTTGGCCTAAGTCTAAGACATTCTCACTAAAACGCTTAGCAGAATGAAGACGGCTATCGGGCTGTCCTGCCAAAATGTTGCTGGTCGATGTGCACTCACTACTTAGCATTGAGAAAATCTTGTTCCTGTCCTCTAATCTCAAGTTCTCTATTAAGGAGTGATGTAAAAGTGGAGAATAGTCCTTTTCCCCAGAGAATGTTCAGTAGTGCTACTTTTGCCATGTTGATCCAGTAACTTTTTGTATTTTGCAGATGCTGTACCCTTCAAGGATTTAATGTGAATTCTTGTACTTCACTGTTGTACAAAAATAAAATGTTCTCAATAACATTCCAGGTTACGGAGTCTCTGTATTTCTTCTTGGTTGATCAGCTCGAAACATTGCGTGTGTCTGTTGTGAATTTCAAAAGAAAATGAATATTCGGGCAAGTCCAAAATCAGAGCTCCTTTCCAAAAAGGAAAAGACTTTATGAACATTTATTACTGAACTGGAGAACAGTGAAAGAAAAATTCTAGGTCATTAAGTGACAGGCAAGGGAGCAAAAGTAAAGTAGGTGACGATAATTAAATGCAAACTATAAGTATTTTTTAATTTTACAGGCGGTATTTAGCTGCGTCCTTTATACTCGGGGTTTTTTCGTAGAAACCATAAAGGCAAAAACTTGTCTGGTCCCTCTCCCCCCAGCCTCAGAAAACAGCGGACAATTCGCGACACCACCTACCAAATGACGTGCAAGGAACGAGCTCAAAAATTCCAGACGAACCCCTAAGAACGTCTGCGTGAGAGGCTATCAGACTCGCTTCTTCCAGTGCATCCCATGATTCAGTGTCTCCGTAGTCGTTAAAGGGATCGAAATTCATGCACAGTGAGCCGGTAAATAGAATAGGATTTTGGGTATCAACTGAAATCACTCGACGTGATCTTTGGGGGCAGATGCTGTTGTTCCCGAAATTGTATTTCCCCTCTGTCGGGCCATTCACGTGTGCGCTGGTATGTAGGATCCAGCTCAATCTCGGGGTACGTCACAACGCGTTCCACTGACGTCATAAAACTGTCCACTTCAGAGCACTGAATAACTCCAAACTGTGACGTGTCTACATCCGGCTGAAGCGTGTACACCAATGACAAAGCGGTTACACCTGATGAAGAAAGGACAAAGAAACATTTAATTCAAAATAATAATGCAAACATCTGTTGTACAAACCTTCTTGACTCCAGGAGAAAGTTATAGCCGGACTGCAAGCAGTCTTTTTTTGTTTCGTTTTCTCTAAAGTGGAGGAAGGTCCGCCAACTCACGCGCTTTCTGATCTAGAGATAAAATTAAGTCTTTGGCACAATGAATCTAAAGCCCCTTTTTTGCTCAGCACGACTGACCACGATGACCGAACGAAAAGCGGACTCGAGGGTCGGGATTGTCGTAGTCCCCCATTTTTCTTCAGAGATAGTAGAGCGAGCGAAATGCGACGCGGTGGAGAGAGAGAAAAATTTTTCTCTTTCCCCGCCGCGTGTCGCCTTTTCTCGCGTGGAGTGATTTTCACGCGCGCTCGCGTTTCGCTCGCTCTACAATGGGGGACTACTCGTAGTCTACTTCTGAAAAAAAGAGAGGTCCGCAAAGCGTGCAAACTTTACGTGGCACAGACTCAATTCTCAGCTGCTGAAACCAAACCAAAGTAACGAGAAGAAAGAAAAGCAAGTCAAGGCGAAATCCGAGCCAACGAACTCCAGAGACAATCATGAACCACGCTTGATTGTGGCTGTCTTGTCATCTAAAAAGAAAAGAGTTAAAATGATATTTTGGATAGATTCTACTGGCAGAATTTCTAGCTGAATAAGCGATTTTGCTATGAACATTCTGCCAGCAGAATTTGGCTTTCTCGAGCACAGTTTTAGCAGAATGACAGAAAGTCAGTAACACAATAATATGCACAACAGTTGAAAGAAAAAGTGGGAAACTTAATACAAAACAAATGGAGGTACGTTGATAATTTCCTGGCTTTTAATATGCATTTTTTGGATATTCCTTTTAGCATGCGAGTAGGCTCCCTTGTGTTTTGGCTTCCAGAGCCGGCAAAGCGGGCAAGCGTATCAAGAAAAGCTACCTGAATTTGACAACAATAGGTATTGTCATGTACTCTTATTTTTGATCGCTTCTTACCTTGTAAGGACAAAAACGATCAACGTGACACAATAGCTTTCACGTGCGGAAAATTTCAACATTTCCGATAACTTCTCTTCGATGACGTTT